ATTTCTATCTACTTACTACACATGTTTGTTTAATTGCCCGTTGAACCTACCTGTCACAATTCTTTTCGCCGTCCGCAGCCGTGCCGGATATAGCCAATGAGCTGTGAGATGCGTCGTTCCAGTCAACGGTCTGTCTTCAGCTGCAGCTAGACCTTCTAACCTCTGCCAAGGCCGTCTAACCGCTGACAATCAAAACTGTCTAACCGTGGCCGGCCAAAACCTGTCCTCAGCTTCAGGTAAGACTGTCTGACCACAGCAGCCAGCCGAGACTTTCTTACCGCAGCCAGCAGTCTGAGCGCGGCAGCCAAGACCGACTAACCTCAGCACGCCAGTGGCGTCTGATCACGGCCAGTCCCCGGCCGCGACTGAGTCTGCCGACTTCGACGGCCCGACGACAGCCGACCATCGGCCGACGCGTCGGCAACGCGTCGACCGCGACGGAGATCTCGGCAATAGATATCGTGCGTTGACCTCTCTCTGTCTCTGTCTCTGTCTCTGTCTCTGTCTCTCTCTGTCTCTGTCTGTCTGTCTCTCTCTCTCTCTCTCTCTCTCTCTCTCTCTCTCTCTCTCTCTCTCTCTCTCTCTCTCTCTCTCTCTCTCTCTCTCTCTCTCTCTCTCTCTCTCTCTTTCTACCCTCTTCTTGCTTTTAAATTTCGTCTATTTATATATCATAAAATTATTGGGACTGGGGTCGGACCCCCGCGACCCTCCTGGTAGCGGAGATGACTTTGTCGTGGTGCTGACAAGTGAGAGCTTGTTTCATGGATGTCGTCAAGACATGGACTGTCTTGATGATGTTTCATGGTGCTTTCTGCGAAAGTGGAAACAGAAGAAGAGTCTCGGCGGCGCTGTGAAATAAGGTCAACTTATCTGTCGAATCACGCACTTGCGCTGTCAGATAAAGTCGTAGCATGTCATTCTCGTAGATTCAGACGTTCTTTATTTCCAGTCCAGGTATACAGTTACATAAGTTTGAATGCCTAAACTAGACTTCCCTCTATATATAGAAAATGAGCCTGTGGTTCAGATTAGGAGCATGATGTCCAGTCTATTGCTCAGTGGCGGCGGGTGCGAGGCTGAGAGAATGCTTACTGTTTGGACAGTAGGTATTGTTCCATCCAGTCAACTGGTGGCTGGCGGCACCTGTTGCCATTGCCACGGGCAGCAGTGAACAACCCTATATATGTGTCGTATTCACAATCTTTCCCGCGAACCTGACGCGGGCACAGCACCTCGGTGATCAATCGCGCTACGCCGCAAGCTACAGCTAGGTTCACATCCAGCCCTATATAGCTAGCCAATCAATAACTCGCATAAATTTTCAATATATGAGATATAAGAATGGTATTTATAAGGGTAATTCAATACCCCGGTGCGTTATTGAGGTTTATATAAGTGATGAGCTCCATGGTATGTTCTTCATTTATTTGACATCGCAGGACTGAAATATCTGTGGTGGGTTTGATGTGTTCAACAAGACGACGCAGTCCGTGTCGGCGACAGCTCCGTATATCAAATAAATTTATTGCACTAGCTGGGCGCAGGCTGTGGTAATTGCCATGCCGCGGTATAAAATACATATATGTAGCATATTTTATTACTGGCTTCTGTGATTGAGAGAGTTCTGCGATGTCCTAGCTCTATTGGTTCACGAGCTATACCTAAGCCAGTTGAGCTACAGGGTGTTTCACTAAAAGTGTCAAAAAGTAAAAGGTCATAATGCACATAATAACAATGTTTTCTAAGGAAATTTGCATATCATTTCATCCGCAATTGTTGGACATTTGAATATATAAAAACGATATCACCGTCACTCAAACCTATTCCACACATCTGCCCCTTCTTTTGATGCACCGTTTCGGCACGTGTCCGGAGGTGCCTCACAGCCCGTTTTCATCTTCAGCGTCCAGACTGTCGGCAAAGCCTTGAATTGTGCTCTTCAGCTCCCGAAGTGATGCGACTTGAGTCTTCCTCAGCTCTGCGAGAGCTACTGAGTCACTGACCAAACCAGATGCTTAGCGGTGACAGATCGGGGCTTCGCGCTGGCCAGGGGCGGGCGGCGAGGCAGCTGATTATTCGGCCCAGGAGCTTCTGGTCCAGTCAGTTCCTGGTGGCTACAGCCGTTATAGTGGTTGATTTTAATAACTTGTAAGGCCCTGGCTATTTCTGATGATGGAACTAGCTTCTTGTTATCTTCAAAGGCCCTCAAAAAGACCCTGACCTTTTCAACGGTTTCCGCCGAGAGGTGGGGGCAACCCCGCCTTTTTTTTGGACTGGAACCGGCATCGAAGGAACCCTTTTAAACCTCTCAACAAGCCCTTTGAAACTTTTATAATCTGGAACGTAGCGAGGTGAAAGAGTAAAAAGTTTCCTGAAAAGTCGGCATACGGTTTCAATGTTTCTGATGGCACCAAATGTACATAAGTGTAATTCATCCCTCCTGTTGCGGTGTAAATAACCTGTTCTTGTTCTGCATAAGGAAAAAATGACTAGTAACTTTGGCCTCCTGCCCTCGCTCCGTATGAGTGTAAAATATATCTTAAATGGATAAATAATAAATGTCCAAAAATTTGCAACAAAGCCACGTGCGCAGCCACGTGATTTGCATATTCTATATATCTTTAATAGACATTTACTTTTTGACAATTTTAGTGAAACACCCTGAGGAGCTATGTCGAACTGAACGTCGGAATCGGGGAAATGTCACCTTTAATGATGTACCCGTACCAGTTACTTAGCACGTAGGTATCCTGAACTAAAACTTAGCGCGGGCCTGAACGCATCCTCCCACAAGACGAGTGAGAAGGGGAGGGGAGGGCGTAAGCTCTGGATTTTGCTTCCATTTGAATTGTCTAATTTTATTTTCATGGGAGAAAAGCTAAAATTTAGATCAACATTGAAAATTCGAAAAGCTGTAAGAACTTATTCTTTGAAATTTATCTTAGACACGCGAACGAATTGTTACCGGGGATGTAAAATAACGACACGATGGTTAAAGCTTACGAGTCGACCAATAAGCTTATTATGGCCGACTGTCTTCAGTCCGACTCATTCATTCATTCAGTCTTGGCCTCAGTCTCCCCAAACCAACAACGGCCTGAAATAACGGCGTCGGTAACTTTTCAGAATCCAAGGGTCCGAACTTATTCACTCCCGGGAACGTGCTAGTTGAGAGATTTGTCAAATCAAAATCAAAAGCTATAACAAATCTGTGGCAAACACAAAACAAGATGGTTGACTCGCATGCATTTCGTGGAAATGGACAAAACATGTGACGAGTCACCTGTCGCAAACATCAGCAAGACACAATCATGAAATGACTACAGCTATTTTGGAGGCAGCCTTCACTCGAGGGGTACCAGCTCTCTTTCTCTTGCTTAGGTACTCTCTCTCTCTCTCTCTCTCTCTCTCTCTCTCTCTCTCTCTCTCTCTCTCTCTCTCTCTCTCTCTCTCTCTCTCTCTCTCTCTCTCTCTCTCTCTCTCTCTCTCTCTCTCTCTCTCCCCCTCTAGTTCATAGTTATGTTCATTTTGCCACAGAACCATCGCGAATTTATCCATAACCACCTCGAGACTTGTTGAATTTCAAGAAGACCACACCTTATGTGGGAAATTCCAGCACAAGTCAAGCAGAGCTTCCACCCGAGTTGCAACAGTTGCACTGTTCACTTTGTGTGGGCGTGCATGCCATTTGATGGCATATATTGAACCCATTTGCCGCTAAAGGTCTTCTGAAGGTCAGGAATATTTTAGAACCCGGAATCGCGACTGGCTTCCGGCAGGTCCAAGGTGGGCACGCCGTATGTCTTGCATGGTCAATGACATGGCGTTAACATTTTACGCTCTATTACAGAAGTGATGCGTCCCAGCCGTCTTCGTGTAACCAAATTAACCCGGCAGTTGCTGGATTTGGCCACCCACCGTTTGCTGGGGGGGGGGGGGGGGGCGTTAAACACCCCCAGCCGACCGATAACTTGAGAACCAATAAGCGCAGCGAAACGCACGAGGCGGCAAACGAAAGAACGCGACGAGACGCTTCAGATGAGTACTTTAAAGTTGAATTTTGAGGTCACAGGTCGGGTCAAGGTCAGGTCAAACACCTGAAATCGGGCTTTCAGTAGCATGGACTTCAGGACTTCGCAATGGGCGCCTCTCGTCATAAACTCTGTCAAAACGGTGCACAATCCATCATATAAGGCCTACAAGAGTGTCAGCTCCATGTAGGGGTCAGTCAAGCATAGGTCAGGGTCAAGGTCAGGTCAACCGGGTAGGCACATATCCCCGAAAATCAAAACTGATATTCGCAGCCTGTGACGCATGATTTATGGGTAATTTGGGGCGTAGAACACGATGGTGACATTCATTTTATCATATGTGTACGCGTTTGGCTCAAAAAGTTAAATTTAAGAAATGCATGTATCATGGTCGTGAGGTAGTGACGAGAAATTGCCAAGATTCAGTTCAAGATTTTGGAAAATGCGGAGCGATAATCAATAATCGAAGATAGCCATTTGATTGTTCATGGCATTGGCAGTTTAATGGCGTTTACGGCATGTCTGTATGTCTATTCTGTGATTTTGTATGATTTTTTGAACATATGCCGTTTTTGGTCGAAAACTCATAAATCATGACGTCACTAAAACCTCGATATCTCAATAGTTTTCCGACCGATTTTTTTTTTGAAACTTTGTCACAATAAACTTCAATCAATTCCCTACAGGTACCCAAAATTTGGCGCGCCGCACGGCTATGGCCCGGCGAAAAAAGTGGGGGCGTTTAACGCCCCCCCCCCCCCCCAGCAACTCGCGGGTTAAATGATTGGGAATCATCATGCCAAATAGAAGATTGTTAGCACAGAATGTGAGTTGCTACCCTGCAAACTAACATTTGACATTTCAACCCAATGGCCTCATTTTCCCTGTGTTGGCCGTCTTTTACGCGTGACGACCTTTTAAAGCCCTCCCTGATCCCCATTTTCCCAACCTGGAACAAACACATTTCCATCACAATATACGTCTCGTATGTATTTTCCATACCAAGCGTGGAGCGCAGACGAAGCGCTGGGACAAATCCTCCTATAATTATGAGCGGTGCGGAACACTTTTCTTCCACGAACGTTCGTTAAGTTCCGCCGACGTCCGCGATCACACCGCCGCACTTGATTAACGTCTGCGAGACGTCACGTCCGCCCAAAGTCCGCACGTCGTCCACCTTAAGTCCGCACGACGTCCGTTATAAGTCCACACGTCGTCCACCCAAAGTCTGCACGCCTTCCGCTCAAAGTCCGCACGTTGTCCGCTCAAAGTTTGCCCGACGTTTCAACGTCACGAGACGTCGCTTCGTTTACAGCAGCTGCTCACAATCGGCTGACGTGATATCCCACCAGACGAACGAACGGCACAGCAAGTTAGGGGAGGGAGAGATAACCGGGTCCCTTCCCGCAGGGGGTAGACAACGGGCCCCCTCCCGCAGGGGAAGAAGAGACGACGACCCCTTCCCCCAGGCGAAAAGGAGAGACATCAGCTTCCCTTCCTCTCTGACAGGGGGAAGAAAGAGGCACCGAGCCCTTCCCCGAAGACAGAAGGAAGGGGAGACACCACCTCCCTTCCCGCAAACAGAGTAGGATGGACGGGCGTAGTGGACGCGGGCGGCGAACTGATCCAAAGTGCAACGAAAACTGATAACGTTGACGGACTTCTGACAGAATATAAGACTCTAGGGAACTGACAGGTTCTGAAAATCACATCAGACTGACCGACCTGGCAGAGCCGGTAGACTGGTCTGGTATGCCTAATTGAAAGTGACACAGCCCGACAATTTTCGATATATTGTTTGGCAATCAGGAGCACTATCAGCCTGCCAGGATATCGAAGTTTGACATATCTTGACACAATGACAAACTTATAGTCTGACAAACCAACGACACACAGCGACAGACCATTGCAAAGTTTCGGACGACAACGCAGCGCTGTTCGGCCTCCTCACTTGATACCAGTTCATCCGTATGAAACAGCATCAGTCAAATTCAGTTGCAGATGTAATTTCGTCCGCTGAATTCCGTTTGCACAAGCCCCGTGGACGTCAGTAAATTCTCGGAGGCAGGTGCTTTTCGTGGGGGAGTACCGCTGCAGAAACTGGCCATGACGGCAGACCCCACGGCGGCACGGACGGCTAAACGGTCTGAAGAGGTTGTCGATCCATCCCACCGGAGTGAAGTCATGTGACACGCGCTAAAACGAAAACAGAGGTCGAGTCACATCGCGTATTGCGCATAAAAGACCACAGGACAAAAGAAACTGAGTGTGACGATCGGGAGTAGACACAGCATTAGTGTAGTCATCCAACCCTAGCGTATTGTCACATCACGGAACAAGACAAAGGAGTAAAACAGCGGAAAAAAGATTCTCTCACAAAGAAACAGCAACAAATAAATACTAAAATATAAGGACAGCCTTTTAGCCGTCCCCACAATGGCGTGTTTTCTATATCTCAAGTGCTGTTGCTGTCCGTTCCACTTGGTTCGCCTTCCGTCCGTTACACAATTCACCCTACACAAGCTTCACACCGAATACGACGTAGCCAGCGTCTACAGAGCAGCCACTCTGCAGCATTTCCCAAGTAAGGCGGATGCTGGCTACAGGCTAACCAACAACCGGTTTGTTAAAGTGGCGTCCGCTGTCTCGTGCAGTCAGGTAGGAGGAGTATATTCTGTTTACCCAGATGCAGCCAGGCTGAAGCCAAGGCGCCGGAAGGACACGAGCAGTGGAATGGAGTGGTGATGCGAGGAGCGTTCTGGGATTAGTCGCTGTTGTTAAGAACTAAGGAAAGGCAATATTAGCCTGTAATAATACCGAGGTATGACCCGAAACTGATCATCATTGCTACCTGGGTATAGCCAGCAAAATGACAGTGGAATAATTCTGTGGAAGAAAAACTGTGTTATCCGATTTTCTTATCTGCAATCGCTAATCATAGTAGGGGTGACCAACTGTAGAGAGAGATTTGCGCCTCTGCGTTGGTCTTGCTACAATATAATGTCAACACTGCGACGCCTTTTATCGATATTGTTGACTCATTCCAATTCCAATTATGCTATGAGCTATGATAGGACAGGGTGCTACCTAAACGCATTTTTGACTACTTTGTGTAGTACGATTAGCTGCGTGTAGTCTCACCAGTAGAATAATTATAACAAGGCGTTCAACATCTCACTATTAATTTACCTCATTGTTACCACACACGCGCCTTCATTTGCCCACCGACCCGGTGTGGATTTCGGAATTAATCGCAACACGAAATGAACACCCGTGCCACGCTGACTTTTCTCAGTACTCGATGGCTGAGCTCCGGCCGCTTCGTTTGGGAATAGCTACCGTCCTAGCATCGACGCAGTAATGACGGGGTTAATTAGAACGAGAGCGGCGGCGCAGAATGGGACCTTCATTTAGCCCGGCCTACTGTCAGGGCCTAGGGCAGTCGGCTTTCCGCCCATTCCGTGGGGCTGTTTGTGTGCTCGACCAACGCAGAAACAGTACCTGGTAAAGCAGTGTAAAAATTTTCCGGTATTAGCCTGGAAAATCACAGTTAATGAAATCTGCTAATTTTTCATCCTGGCTCATAATTTTCATCTTTCAACACAAATGCACCAAATCCCTATTCAAATCGGTTAAAATGTCCCAAAATAATGTTAGAAGGTTAAAAACTGCACCTATCATGAAAACCACAAAAAATATGATAAATTATACGCACCTTCCTTTCCAATCAGCAATGATGGTAATGACACATGGAAATATCTCAGCACAGTGTATGTATCATGCGCTTCGTGATTGCCTCGATTAAAAAAAGAAACAGAACAATAAAAAGGTGTAGGTAAGTGCAGATAAATACACTCGATAATACAATATTATCAATCAAATAATGTCTAAAAATTAAAATTAAATTAAATTATTGCTTTTGTATAAACATTCCCTGAAGAATTGCATTAAACTAGTTCTACAACTGAATGATGAAATTAGGATGAAAAAGCATTAAAAAGGCCAGGCTGAGGATGAAATTTTCCAGGTAACCGCGGGGATCTCTCACGCCTTCATGAAGTTTCCAAATCATCTGCTGTTTGGATTAGCATGTTAAATGGATCGTTCTCCATGTTTGCTGAAGATATAATCGAAAAATATTGAATATTAGGGAAATTATAGCTGTTTTCTTACAGAGTGTCCGAGGATGAAAAATTCTTCGATTTTTAGTCACCAGTCGAGAATGCTTGTAGGGAGTCTAGTCAATATTTTTATGACTGTAATGCATTTTTTAGAAGATAAGACACTGGACTTCGTTATAAGATACATACAAACTCTTAGATTGCTGTTGATATAAAAATATTGCCTTTCGAAAATGAACAAAAATTTCATCCTCGGACTGGTGTCCAGGCTGCAACATGGACGCAAGCTATCTCATGATTTGATGAAAGATATGGCAAATACTATACATATGTGACAACCTCGATCATTTTTGAACTGTGTGGTGCAAGTTTCTTCCGATTTGATGCCATGCAGGCTGGGTAATGTCTCGAGGGAAATTGCACCTCTTACGGTGTCGGGGGCCGGGTTCGGTTTAATGCAACGCAATTATTTAGTAGCCGCATTTGCTGGCGCCAGCGTGACAAACTACGGCGCAAACAACGCGTCGCGTGCCTTCCGTTTTCAGAGAGGGTAATGATCAGGATATATATAAGCATAGATAACAGTAGAACTGGATTTGACACGAAGTTCGATGAACTGCAATAGGGGACCCCAAAATATGATGTATCTTTTGGCAGCAGTTGAAAACTGAAAAAGCACGTGCATTATGCCTATTTACCAGTGAATCTCATTGGAAACGGCCACAAAATTCACCAAAAATTTGCGACATTTCGGTTTTAAACGTTTTGCTATGATTTTGTTGATAGCTTCAGTTTTACATTTATTTCATAATTTTACCAAGTTTTGCCTTTGTTTAGCACAACAATGGCTTGAGAGTGAAGTTCTCAGGGTACCATGAACCTAGCTGCAGGCGAGCTCAGCAAACGTCTGGAAGAAGTTGCGAAGAGCCGAGTATCAGTGAATTGAGTCAACCTATCCCCTTTGTGGGCCACCTTGTAACTGAGGAGACGCTACTTGCTACTGTGAATTGTGACCAAAAAGCTTTCCGAAGTAAGACAAGTAAAGTCTTTCTTACTCATACTGATCGACCGCGCCTACCAACGCCTATAATCTGAGTTAGTGGAGCGCGTCGTCTTCACTAGCCTGATCTACGTGACCACTGACCGTGGTTCAAAAGCTCATCCCTCACCAGCAAATAGGCTGTGGCGGGATGTATGTACGATCTGGACTTATCCAGTTGGTACTTACAGTGGACTCAGAACAGAAAATCACCAACGAAGGTACGGAAGCCTTACTGGTGCTGCTGGGAGACAAATCACGCGAGCTGTGAGGCGACGCTGGCTCTCTCTGCTCAGGGTACGGAACGGGGCTGATCGTTCCTGGTGCTGGTCAGCACTGCACCGACGTGTAGTTGGTCATCTGAAAGCTGCAGATGGGGGGCTCACGGCACAGAGAACGCATCATGTAATCTTGATTTCAACTTGTCTGTTGGAGTTGAAGCGAGTGATTGCACGCCGATTCTGCCCTGTGGATACCACCCCAAAGCGGTTACCGGGGAATGAGCGCCTGGAGCAGCTTTCCACAGACGTTTCTGCAGCTTCAAAGCAGCTCTCATCCAAGAGGATGTATCTGACCACATTGTCATAATATATGCTGAACAGCGATAGGAGACCCACGTGCCTGCGCCACTGCCCTGTTCGTTAGCTGGCTGGTACCTCACAATGATGAGGAGCGTCTTCCACCGCCTCGCGCGCTGCTAGAAAAGGGCGGACGCAGTGGGAACCACCCAAGAGTGACCGAGGACACTGACCCGGCTTTGCATAGCATCTGTTCATCCGTCACCGGAATTCATCGAATGTTACGACTACGAATACAACATGAACTGCAATGGCGCATTGAAGTGCCTGCAAGAGACCGGTTGTCTGAATCACGTTTTGATGCGATCCCCGACGCTGGTGATGGTGCGCTGCCGCATCTTTGGTCTCATCTTCCCTCCAATCAGTGACGTGAGGCAGCACGGTTTAGTGACGGTGGCGAGGGCCGTCAGATGCCCCCACGCGCCTCTAAGACTATTCAGCTGGCTGCCTCAAGCAGGAGGCCATGAGCGACCGTCAGCACGCTTTGAAGTATGGAAAAGGGCAGACTGGCTGAAAAAGGCAAGTCAACTGAACAATTGATACACTGTTAGCCCCGCAAGGTTGGCCTCCCTGTGTCACCAAGGCACACGGATCACAGGTGCCCTACGACGTGATTCTAAGAGCCGCATGCAGGCTGGTAAGGCCCAAACAGAGATGAGCTGAGCATACTGGACATGCTGGCTGTATAATTATTTTTGGTTGTTTATCTAAACATGCTGGTTATTTAATATATGTCGGAAAAATATAACTTCCAATACACAGGCCTGAATCTGATTGCATGAAGTGGCGCAGTTAGTGCTATATATTCGGGAAATAAATTTCGCAAATATATATTAATGAAAACTGCGATATATACACGTATATTTTACTTGGGATTGGACCGTTCATTTCAGAGGAGAGGCGAAAAGGCCCCTGTGGACACCACCCACGAGGCACGTGATTCCGACTTGTGGGCACCTTACACATGAATAGCCAATAGTAGTGAATGAAGCGGGGCCAATGGGGCTACTCATAGCAGAAAACCGCATGCCTCTGAGACATGCGGTTGCGTTCCGAGGCTGATCGATATCATTGACATTTTTGGGTCCCCTACTGCAGATAGGCAGTGTTCGTGTCAAATCCAGTTCTACTGTTATCTATGATATAAGCAACGTAATGATAATGCGTCGCTGGGTAGCTCTCTGAAACCTGGTAGGTATTTTTATTTTCAGAATTATGTTAATTTTACATTGTGAAGAAGTTTTTCACCTTCAACTCGAGCACTATCCTCTCTGATCAGAGAAGATGGTGCTGATTGTTGCCCATAACTTGTGAATAATGACCATAGGTCCATACTGATACGATGAAATTTTAGCCCATTTGCTTATATTTTCAACGTGTGCCCATCTAAAACAATGTTTTATCTAGAACAGGTTGTCATTCTTTTCATCATAGCACCCGTTAGTGTAAAAATCATCATTGCATGTTAAGATCGGTCAATTTTTTTCATCACTGCCTGGTAAAAAACAAAACTTTTTTTCATCTGCACAGGTAACGGTGAAGTAAACATTTTACACTGTGGTAAAGTATGGTTCGGTGGGTAACGCTGAAACGGAACCCGTGGGCGGGCCGTAATGATATCTATCCTTCACCTATTCAGCGTAATTTGTATTATTAATCAATAAAAGTCCATCCCCAACGTCTGATAGCGTCTTAGGAAAACATATCGACGAGGTTGGCGTCAATTAATTGACAAAGACGAATAAATTAGCATTGCAATAAACGACGGTATCACAACGCGACTGAACATTCGAGAGCACGTTCATTCGTCCGTCAATGTGTGTGGAATGCCATATTGGAAGCCCGACAATACTTATAACCGAAGACCAATCACCAGACAGAAAGCTGCAGGACGGTGTGCGCAGTAGTGCCGCCAAATCCTAACAACGATGGGGTGCCTTTCTGAGAAACAACTCAACCTGGCTTTTCTCGTGTAAGCTATTTTAACCACTCAAAGCGTGGCGTATAAATGCCAATCACGGCATTGAAGGCGCTAATCGAGACAGAAGAACAACGGCAGCTTTTACGAAGTATCAGCCAGTGGAAGGGATTGGTAAAATTTTCATGGAGGGCAATGCCTATGATGGTTATATGCACCCTCATGGAGCGCGCACTACAAGTGATACAACAACATTGGCGTGCTAGTTCGGGTATAGCCGGCACCCTTATGCCATGTGAAGAAATGGGTACGGTCGATGGTACTTTACTTTTGATGCAATTTTTGCAATGAAAGTCAGCCTCTAAGCAATTAACATCAAGCAGTTTTTCCACTATCCTAACGGACAGGCGTGAGAATCTGCTCTTCTCTCTATGGCCGTCAATGTCAAATGGCTTTTCCCGGGCTGACTTGACTCCCGTGCTGCCCCCTACACCGGCGTTACTAAGCGTAAGCTCCGCTGCCACCCACCAGCATCTTTTCAACATAAAAACGAGTTGAGCTCAACCTTTTCTGAGGAATTTCAGTCTCTGTGAAAGTACATCCGAATAAAGAAGCAACAGCTAGTGGCATACTGTCACGCACACTCACATCAGCTGAAAGGAACCAAAAGCACCTGCATTTCTCGCTAGCAAAAGGGTTGCACCGTCTGGGCCTGAATGGGTTAACGACCTCCCCGAGGACGCTATTGAATGTACAAAATTGGCTCGTCTGCATCTCTTTTAGAGGTCACTGGCTGGTCTATTCTGGAAGCCTATTCAGTACGCGGCAGTGTCAGGTTTGGTCTGTCAGACCGGTCTTCACTTATACCGCCTGGTAACATCAGGAGAACATAGGTACGATGGGGGAAAGACTCGAAATGCGACTCCCCGTGGTCTAGGGCAGGGTGAGTCAATGTACTGGACTTGACGACCATCGAGGCTGGGTGGAGGTCACTCCTCGGGTCACTTACCGTTATGAGCAGCTGTACAGGGCTTGGTGACATTCGAACCTTTCAGGACTCTGACCTCTCGTTACTCACAGTCACTCTACAATGTACAGGCCGGGTTCGGCAATGGGTAGGGTAGTTCAGGAGGCAATAAGACCTCCGTTACTCACCGTTATAAGGACTGTGCAGGGGTTCGGCGACGGGGTTAAATCAAAGGGCCATCAGAATTCTCGGTTAGGCTAGGTTAGGTCACTCACCAATATAGGACTGTACAGGGGTTCGGTCGGCACCGTTTGGGGGAGTTCAGGAGGCGACAGACCTCTCGCCACTCACCGTTATAGGACTGTACAGGGGGTTCGGCACCGTTTGGGGGAGTTCAGGAGGCGACAGACCTCTCGCCACTCACCGTTATAGGACTGTACAGGGGTTTCGGCACCGTTTGGGGGAGTTCAGGAGGCGACAGACCTCTCGCCACTCACCGTTATAGGACTGTACAGGGGTTTCGTCACCGGTTGGGGGAGTTCAGGAGGCGACAGACCTCTCGCCACTCACCGTTATAGGACTGTACAGGGTTTCGGCACCGTTTGGGGGAGTTCAGGAGGCGACAGACCTCTCGCCACTCACCGTTATAGGACTGTACAGGGGTTCGGTCGGCACCGGTTGGGGGAGTTCAGGAGGCGACAGACCTCTCGCCACTCACCGTTATAGGACTGTACAGGGGGTTTCGGCACCGTTTGGGGGAGTTCAGGAGGCGACAGACCTCTCGCCACTCACCGTTATAGGACTGTACAGGGGGTTTCGGCACCGTTTGGGGAGTTCAGGAGGCGATCTGCTCGGCAGGGGCGGTCTCCTGTTGCGGCCTCATCACATCGGGCAGCTCCGGTGGGGTCGAGTAGGGCACTACCTCCGGCGCCTCAAACTCGCCTGGCGGACGCGACAAGGGTGAGGTCAGTGACGGGTGAGCAGCAGCATCAGCACCTACACAATAATCCACCTGGAAGCTACAGTAGGTATGTCGTTGAGATGCACCATTCTTCTCAGTGCGCAAGTGTCTCATGTCAAAGTTAAAACTTGCATTTGGTATGGACTTTGTGGGCACAGCAAATGTTATGCTAATACCAGAGTCTTACGTTTCCAATCTTAAAATTCAATGTAACATGGAGGAGCTAGTTGCAGTAAGTCTACATTCATTGGGTGCAAAGGGCGGCTCAGTATAATTGGTACTCATGAGCCTGGCTTTAGGCGTCCACATTTCACCCACACTGTTGAATCTTCCATCGGCATCAATGATCAATATCTTATCTACACCGGCCACCACTGAATACAGCCATCGGTATCGACATCTTACCGTCCTCCTGACGGAAGCAGAGCACCAGAGTGGCGGGCTTGTGCGCCTGCGCAGTGGATGACGTTAGACCACAGTCCTGCGGGATAGAAACAGGCTCTTAGACGCATTTAGTCAGTTCTACGCTAAACTGGACCAAACAATGTGAGGGTTGAGGCCGGATTTGTTATGCAATGTAAAGGAACAATTCAGTTATGCCAGACCCTGGCAACAATGCCCAATTTATTAGCAATTCATCGAAAATGAATTGTATTGGGTTTGGGCGACAGGCAACAGATGACAGTACTGGCCGAATCCGGCCCGGCCCAGAACCAACAAACGGGCAGTTCGCTCCGACCTTCCTATGCGTGTGAACATGCGTGGGCATCAGGGTTGTTTTGACCGGCCTCAGGCCGACAGCAGGTCTTGGGCTCAGACCCGAACACCCCATAGCTTCGCCCCAGGCATTCGCCGATCTCTCAGCCTAGGGCCGGAACTCGTTATTGTGGGGACACTCCTGCCATCTCGTGGGTCTGAAGTCAGGGTTTAGTTCATATATAGCATGTCAGGCTTACCTAGAGGTCAGGATAAGCCCAGGTAAGTACCTAAATAACCATGGATCAATGCAAGGAAAGAACATAAGATTACCGAAAATTATTTCTCAAAAGTCATAATATACTGGCAAACTAAAATGCAGCTATACACATTGTAAGCCTTGATTTGAATATGATAACTGGATGACAATGTTTCCTATTTAAGCCAGGAAGCTTTGAGAGAGCCAAGAAAAGACCCTTACCAGTTACCAGTACCTTTCAGCCAACAAACATGGGGCATCACACAAGAAGTCTTTTTCTCCCCCATTGACATCATGATGGTGATGACGCATGGTTCACAACACTAAAGACAAGTTATTCATGAAGATTCATTACTATCCCCTCAGACTTTGACATCATACTTCAAAGTTACCTATATCTCCATTCTCTGCCTGAACAATACCCCACCCACCTGAAGAGTTTTGGTGTCCTCCATCTCTGTTTCATCCTTGAAGAGTTTCTGGTTCTCTGGAGACACCTTCAGGATCCCCTCCAAGATCCGCTTCAGCTCCATCACGGACGTATTCTCTTTGGCGTCGGTGAAGATGGTGGTCTTCTGACGACGGATCATCATGTAGATGTCCATGGTGAAGCTGTGGGCGAGGCGCAGCAGGTCATTGACAGTCTGTGATGTTTGTTTTATGACATGCATGCTGTATAATTCTAAAAAATGGACAAAGGCTGATTTACACAATTCTTCTTTCCACCAAGCACTTCCACTTCCCATAGGCGCGGGAGCCGGGGGGGCAGTGGGGGCAGCTTGCCCCCCCAACTCTGGGGCCGTGGGGGCCACAGCTTTGAGACGGAATACCACACTTTTTTGCAAATGTTTTCTTTTTTTGTTGAAAAAGCCGAGGGGTGAAAAATAAGTGGCCTAAAACCGGTGAGAAAACTAGATTTGGGGGTACCCTAGGTTAATCTCTATTATGGTGTGCCCCCCCAGTCGGAAAGTAGTTCCCGCGCCCCTGCCACTTCCTCATTTAATGTCAATGTGTTTATGTTAAGGGGAACAACAATTTCAGCGAGAATTTATAGAATTTATCAGACTTTAAACTCTAAAACACATCCTAATCTTGGTCCTATTGAAAACAGACAACAATTGAGTAAGCAGTTCTAGTTGACCTTGGTTTTAGTTTGAGACTAGTGTAGCTACCTTAAAAGAATGCTTTACTTCTGTTGCAAATGCTTTCAACTGATAGACCCGTTTTAAATCAATGCCAGGCCTTGGGTGATTATTGTTCAAGACAAAGGACAAAAATCACAACACAGTATTCAATAGGTAATCGATTCACATCAAACGCGCAATGCCGCGGAAGCAAGCAGGGGGGTTCGCTCCCGTGCCTTCAGCATTACGAAAAATGGCAACAGCCCGTGAGCAGCATCAGCGCTCACGCACATGTTCAAGGAAAACAACGTGTAATTAGCTGCTGACGACGGCCCTCTCCACCAATCAGCGCTCGGTAACTCGAGCGCTGATTGGCTGGTAGCAAACGCGTCATATGTGGGTCTCATTTTTTGCTATCAGTGAACGCGTTATTTAATACACAGTGGCCTATGGAGAATGGCACGCGGAATTTAAGGTCAGTGTTTTATTGCTTGGTACATGCGAATGGGGGTATTTGAGTGGCATTTGACACCATTTTCGAAATCTACAGTGAATTTCTGATCGACTCATGTATATATTTTTATGAATTTGACAGTATTAGTGCTACTTAGTCGGTGTTTTATGTTGGTGTTGTTTCTCTCGACCTTTGTCTTGGACTTTAATGATATCTTTTCTCGAAAGTGCTTGCCATAACCAGGTCTAAACTGTATCTGTATAAAGGGAATATGTGTTGAATATCAGGGGAAAGTAGTAATGACCATTCTGCCTATCAAACTGCCAGAAGGTGTGCTTGTAAGGTGATTGAAACTGCAGTACGGGTTGCAGATGTGGGTTTGACATTAGCATTGTTGTTGTAACCCCACTTGCTCTAATAAAATGGCAACATGGGGTTATGTAATATGTACACACTATTGCACAGCCTGGTATCAAGCTGGTTGATATGTGGAGGATAATGAAAGCATAAAAGAATAGGAGCATTGCGTCTTGTGACTTATGTCAAGTCATTTTAAATCAAATGATTGTGATTGTAACTTTTACTTCAATTATTATTGCAAGTTTTGACCTTTTTAATCATCAATTCTTATGTGTACCAATTTCATATCCCTGTGTAATGTCTGTGCGGCTTTGTGCAGTGTGCGTGTCTTGAAACAAACCAATTTATTTTGTACCTTTTTGTACTTCAACAAATGTATGTCAAAGGACAAAAATGTCATGTCTATTATCATTGACACTATTACAGCTAACTTTGCCTGTATTCCTATCTTTCAGAGGCATTCAATTCAATCTGCTTTCCAGTGCAGTACCAAGGAGGCTGCAACTGAAACTCGCACAAAGGCAATCAAGTGTCACTTTATCAGCCTACAGTAACAGCCCATCTGTAATCAAGATATGGATTAAGGGGCATAGAAGAACAACCAGTTCAAACATGAAAAGATTGTATCTTGTTTTGGACTATTTCTTAGCATAACAGAACAGTACACTTGCTGCTTTTTATGTTTGCCCTGTGTGCAGTTTTGAATAATTTTGACCATGAGATGCTTTTGTCAACTATTCTCTTTACATAAGCTTCCTTTGTCATGCATGTGTAATTTTGAGTTTACATGCATGATGTAGGCACATTTCTCTTGGCTTCATAGAAGTTAAAACTACTTGCAAGCTTTGGTTATGGACATTGGTGCTATATGTGATGCTTCAAATGTGTCCAGTAGTTGATGAAGGGAGAAGAGGAGTAGGACAGCTGATAGCTATTACCAAAAGCATGTGCTTGTCTGCACTTCGGGCTGTTTTACTTCCTTGAGTTGAAAAACCCTCATCTTTTGTTTCTTTCCTGTGTGCCCATTGTTTCCATGGTGCTATACATAAACGTCAAGTTTGAAATTGGTATCCAAGTGAGCAAAATGTGTATTATTTCAGTCCGTCTTGAATCATTCGTCTTGAATTATATCCCTAACTGACATCCTGTTATTTGTCCTGCAATGTCTGTGCCTGTGTCCGCCCTTACCTCCGGCTCCAGCCTCCAACAAGCCCTGCTGAGCTCTGTCGCCGGCGCGGTGTGTCGCAACGTGCTGTTTCTCCACTCCAGCCGACAGCTGCTAGGAATCGTCCTGTGCCATGCGCCATGCGACACAGCAATTGTAAGCTGCAGGTCTCATTCGGACTGATTGGCTCCGCGTATGTGCACCCGGCCGGGAGCTAGTCGATATCAGGGACGTGGGTCGGACTGTTGTGGCGGCGTGCACTGTGCTGGTTGAAGTTGTATTTCTGTTAGTGAAAAGCATTAATACATAACCGTGGCCGCAGCCCAATGTTATTGTGGATTTCAGAGGGAGTGGCCAGTCAGGAGGGCCCCATGTGGGTATGGATCCAGTGTCCAGTGGGATTGGCTAAGATTTCCGGCGATTGATAAACGCTTCTATGATAGTAAACCTATTGAGTTATGAGGGGAGGTCACGTGACGGACCTGACCTTACTAAACTCTTGTGAAAACACAACACATACGAACGGTAAGAAACCGACAACTCTTCTTTCTGCCAAGTGTCATCTTTCTGTGAAGGATTTCTTGGCACTGAGTGTTCAGAAATTGCGTTGTTTTTGGACTGTGCAGAGGCTCACGAGCGACAACATAGGTCAACAACCTGACCTACCTTAAATATGCGACGTGTACCATAAGATCCAGCTTGATCAAAAGATAGGACATGTCAAATTTCATCTCTTTATCTCAAAAGAATTTTGAGCTATCGTAAAAACCCCCAGTGTGGCACCATATCGCCTCCGCGCGCGGTCGGAAGGTAAAAGTTCGCCGGCTCTAACTAAACAAATAGTCGTCGTATCGCAAATTCATTGACGGCGTTCGAAGCGTCGTTCAATTTACTTTCGAAACATATCCTAACATTACCATTTAACTGCCTAGCGCAATCACCAACAAGCAAAAGTTCCGCGCATCCCTCCTCATACAGTGTTAGCGGCGGCCGGCCGCCGGCCGCTGACCCACATTCGCGTCATCAGGGAATGCCGCAACTAATTTATTGTTCCCAACTTTTTTCCCGGAGCGTTCTACCTGGTTTATATAGCCTTGGAAGCAAGTCAACAAATGATGCAAATGTGGCGCAAGTGTTTCAATCACCAACTTCTTGCAATTTAGCAATCTGAGATCTCATCACCCTGAAGCTATCTATGACGTCATAGGCCCAGCACATTTCCTGTCCTCTAGCGTCAGAAACCATCAGCGCTAGTTCACGTTCCGTCCGCCAGGGCCGTTAATGAGCTCGCCGCGGGGGGTGGTGTTTTCGACGATGCCCTGACGGGGTCGCCAGTCGAGACCGGTCAGGGGTCCGAGAGAGTGCGCCGAGGCGGGCCGGCGGCTAGACGTGAAGATGTGCCACTGACTGATCTGCACCGAGCGTCAGCGATGGCCTGGTCCGTGCGTGTTGCGTTTTTGTGCGTATGCGCGGCGACTTCTGCCCTGCATCGGGCAGCTCCGTCCAAGTTTAGCATTGAGGAGCTGCTGCACACAAAGTTCCCGCGCCGTATCTCCGGAGATATCAACGCGGATCCCTGCAAAGGAAGTGAGTGCCTTCGGGATCGGGTTCTAGCACTTGCCCCACCCTGCACCTCCTCCCTGCCGCCGTCTGCCGCCGGCTGGCAATTAGCCTTGACATAGCACTAAATCATCCGAGATTTGATTGAATTACGCCCGTGTTGTGTGTGAGAGAGGGAGGCAGCGAAGGTCACACTGACATCACAACTCCATCCGCCCCTTCCTCCTCGTTTCTCTATTCACTTTTTTGTTTTTTCTTTCATGCTTCTCTCACCTCTCACCCCCCCCTCTCTCTCTCTCTCTCTCTCTCTCTCTCTCTCTCTCTCCCTATTTCCCCTCCCCATCTCCTCATCTGTCCTCTTCATGCCTCTCTCCCACCTCACGTAGGCATTACACTCGACGTTCCGCGAAAGTACGCAGATTTTGCGCCGTGTCAAAACGTGACGACCGGCCGACGGCCCTGTGCGTTTTGCGCCGGCTGCATTTTGATCGTGTCACTAGCCCGTGGGGGATATTTCGTCATCGAGAGATGTAAGACCTACGAGTCTGACACCGACACGCTATGGTCTAGTTCTGGGGATCAGAGTTCGGACAGCCGATGTTTTGACGATCGGTGTTAGTCGAGAACGGAAAGAGGTATCTGATTACTAGAAACAGCCTGACAGCTCCAGCTAAAAGGTTATTGGTGTAAAGGTATTCTAGTTCATTCACATCAGTCCACGAAACGAATACCATAAATAGGTATCCTGACAATATCAGATATCGCATGAGGTCTGTGACGGTCAGCTTTAATAGTTGACTTTCGGTACTGAGATAGGTATAGGTAATTCATCATACAGGGACCAGGGGGCTGTGTGATTATGGGGTCATTTGATGTTAGGGTCCATAGACCAGTCTCCTTTACACTTTCCTTCGTATCTTCCCTCCATGACAAGCCCCATGGGCCATGTCTTTGGATGTCCCTCACTTCTCCCACGCACTGTAACGCCCCCACTCCCAAAATAGCGGCCCCGCTTCCCTCCCGAAGTCTGCTCGGGGTCCGCCCCTGCATTTTCCCAGCTGTCCCGCGCCGCTTACTTGGCTCCGTCTGGCCTCATCCAGCCGGCTTTGTTTGGCTTGTCCGGCTCCAGAAATCTGCGTACTTGTGACTGAGGTTGTTACTAAGTGGGTCTGGTACGACGGGGTCGCCGGATGCGACCTGTTTGTCCCCCTGAGGGGGCGGCGGATGACCCGAGCTTGCCGCAAGGACGAGTTTTAGGACCGGGACGAAATATAAACCGACGCTGATGATGATTTGTGAAGCCTTTGAGCTAAAAATATCGAGACGTTTATTACCGTAAGCCTACCTCATGTCAACTTATCTCATAAATTGTGCATAAAACGTACCCCATGTGGCAGTCTGTCCTGGGCTGTCCTATGATATGTACCCAACGGGGTTCGACGTGCGTCTTTCGCAGCGCTGTCTGCTGACACGTATACATTAAACATTCGATGTATGATATGGATCATTGCAGTGGTGAGCTGGTTGGACGCAGTGTGTTTTGTTACGGTCAGTGGAGCCTGCAGGTGGTTATCAGTGATGGCGTTGGTGAGACGAGTTGCACCAATGAGTTGTGAGTTGAGTTTTGCAGAGTGCATTTTGGCACAGTGCATCGTCTTCCGAAATTGTGCAAGTCATTAATTAGTTGTCGAACCATTGATTGATGAAGCCGAAAACAACAAAAATGAAGCTCAGAACGATGCCGTCCTGAAGCTCTTCCCTGCTCAGCTGTTTACAAGTGATAAAACCCAATACTTATGTGTTCTTTCGCATTGCACCATTACCTAACTACGTTCTGTCAACGCTAATATTTTCAAACACCATAAACAAATGTGTGTTTCTAAGCTGCTCAACTCGAACAGCCTTTATCGACCAAATATCGAACGTTACATGGAAGATGTTTGAGTGACATTCCAGAACTTCGAGTTTCGATTGACGCCTAGATTACAGCTTCACCTAATTGTTTATTGCATCAGGTATAACCCAACAATGTGTTTGATACAGCAATTAGCTGATCTCAGTCGGTTTAAACCGTCTCGATCGCGCCAGAAAACAGCGGACTGAATTTCAACCCGAGCTGAAACCGTCTCAACGTATGACCCTCTGAGATCACAGCGGTATGTGGGAGCATGTAAACAACATGGTCGTTAACCCGTCCAGGTTCACTTCAATAGGCTGTCGTGTTAACAAAGGACCGCGCTCTATTCTTGTGCATCTCGGGTGCCTTCATTGACCCCCTGTAAGTACCAAGGTTACTATACAGGAGAGTGGCAAGGTCATTCTCCCCTTCTGATGACCTCGGACGTTTCAGAAGAGTCGGGAATGGATTTGACGGAGGGGACATGAACTTGGAGATATGACAAGACGGGTTGCGTCCTATTTTACATATTAGTTATTTTGCGGGTGGAACATGAAGGCGAGTAGCGCCGGCGCCATCATCACCTCCATGGCTTTGCCCTCGCTGCTTCTGCCGCTGCTGCTGCTGCTACTGCTACTACTGCTGCTGCTGCTACTACTGCTGCTGCTGCTTCTGCCGCTGCTGCTGCATGGTGGCTCTAACCCCTTTACCCCTCCCCCGCTGCCGCCGCCTCGGTCGTAAACGCTATCTCTGCGAGGAACGAGAGGCTGTAAGGATGTCTACCGAGCGTATACACCCGTGCAAACGGTGAGGAGCGATGGCGCCCCAACCCTGTCCCCGTCGCTGTGCAGACTGGAGACTGGGGTGTTTGATGGCGGCAGGTGGTCTCAGTGATCACTGATCTGAGTGATCAGCCTTGTCCCTGAGCTCGACATGACCTGTCCCGGCCTGAGATGGGCCAACAAGACCTTGTCAGAGATCTCGAGATTTCTGAACTGATTTGACCTGACCTGACCTGACATGGTAGGTAACCTTGCTGCTTTTCAGCAAATGGTTCAGCTTGAAACAAAACTGTTGGGTTAAGACCTCGCCTGACACTTTTCTCAATTACTAACCAATCTTTTCGTTATTATCCCGCCGTGCTCATCAAAACTACGAGTACTTCATTTCTGCCATTTCATAACTATAAATCCTCTGCATCGCCTCTCTTTCCACACCACTGCCACCACAGCCACCACCCTCGCTGCCGGCACGTGCGACCCCCCCCCCGACTCCCCCTAGTCCACAAAGCCAGAGCCACGTGTGGCTGGTGTACACAAACCTAAACGCTCTCCCTCCGCTCGCCCACTCGCCCCCTCTCCCGTTCTCCCGCTCGCCCGTCGCGTTGGCCGGTCGGCCTGCGCTTTGCTCTGAGTCACGGTCCAAACCACAAACATACAGCACTCCGCCGCAGTAACGCACTCCGTGGCATTTGGCGGCCTATATGATTGCTGGAAGACGGCCCACTTTGGGTATCTAGGGTGCTTGTTTGACATACGCACACGCAGAACGCAACTCGCAAGCACACCACATAAAATGTAGATTCACATTTCACAAGCCATTGTCCTTGTGCTTTCTCGCACCAGCAGATACACCGCATACATGCACATTACATACACACTACAGTACACACTGCACAGTGCATTCGTAGTCTTTGTGCTTTGACTATAGATTTTATGCATACCGTAAGTTCGCCTCTAAAGCATTCAATTGTTGAGGATATGTGCAAAAAACAATCAGTCACACCGGACACAAACAAGATGGACATGTTTGTATTACCCGCAAACGCACACCTCACACAAACACCGAACACACGTGATACAAACATCAGACACTAATCGGACAAACACATTACAGTACGTAATATGTATGTACAGCGCAGACCACGTACATACCCTCTGGTCACGCAGAAGTTGAACAAACCTCGTACAAACACTGCTTGCTCAGTACTCATACAATCACAAAGAACAAACACTGAACACACACACTGCACACTGCACAGCTGTATCTGCACCGAAGGCGAGTGGCGTCCGGAGGTGACATTTGATCCCCAACTCTGCGAAGGGGACCGTCTCCCTTCTCCGGGACCGGACCGGGTACCGGGACCGTCGCGGTCACTTCCGGTCCATCTCCGGTGACCAACCGCCCCCGCCTTTCCCTCTTTTCCTCCCCTGATCTCCCTGTTCTCTTCATAACCAACTTACAACATCGAATACAGGAGGAAACAGAGAACGGTGTCTCTCTCAATCAACTTTGGGCTGGTAGCATATTGATATCAAATGACGGTATAAGTAATTGAAGGGGAAGGCTGGTTAAACCGACAGGAATAACCAGTAACCACAATCTTGTAGGGAGAAGGGAACTTACTGTTGATTTTGTTGTGCATATACTAATTAATTGTTAAAGTCAGCCACGCGTCATTAGTAGTTTCCACGGTATAACAAGAGGATAATTAAAAGTGGACACAACTAGCCTCCGCTGGACGACGGCACGCGCTATCCAGTTCCGTGGCGTCGTCTGCATATATGACGTCATTAGTATCTGTTCCTTTCTAGCCGACAACCAGGCGTCGCGCTTACGTAAACAGAAACCACAGAGACACGTGTTGGAGCTGGCACACAAGGGGTGAATCAGGACGGAAAGCTGGCCAGTTATACTCAATGGAAATGCTTGAAGTGTTTGATAATATAACTGAGTGTTGAGACCTAACCTGCTACCAATGAAGTCATCTTTGAGATTTTTCTTATTCTTTGCGTTTAAGTGGGGCTCTTGAAGATAAGATACGCAGTCGATAAGCTTTTATTTAAGTAACGGTCATAACATGCCGCGCCATCCTATAACTCTTCATTGCAATTAGGTATCACATGTCTCGCTGCCTTTGGCAACTTCTTATATTTGTCGGCAACTAAAACCAATTAACCTTCTCCCCTCCCCCGACTGCCCCCAGCAATGCCATTTCATGGAAAGCGTCTCATCAGGTAGATTGAAATTGTGCAACTTCTGCCGCTGAGGGCTGCTCTTGCCCCGGAGTTGGGTGACAACGGGTCGCCCTGGGACGCATCAGAGCCACTGTCCAATAACCCAACTTATC